GTAAAATGCTGGGTCAAACTGCCCTGATGACACAATTGCTAAATGCAGCTGGGGAGCCTGGATGGGACACCAAAACACAGGAGAGAAGAGACTGATGAGAATCAAAGCAGATCTATACATTAGTTACTAAGATGTTTGTCACGGTGGAATGACTGGTTTTTGAAAGTCTTACTCTTGATTTTGTGTAAGCTGTTACCATTGAGGGGAGCTGGGTGAAGAACATCAACTTTGCCGAAAAGCTTCACTTATTGCAGAGTTAGGGAACCTTCTTTTTTCTGCCAAGGACCTTCTGGATATTTATGACATCATTTGTGAGCCATATGTAATTGTAAGGCGTCTTCATACTGAACTGAGCGAGCAAGTAGAGTTTGCTGAGTACACTGTGAACAGTGAAGGAGCAGCCTGTTCAGGGCAGAGGGTTTGCCAAGGGGGGGTCTAGGAAGTGCTTCCTATAATTACAGGTTGGAATTTAGCAAGTAGGGAGTGGAATTCTGCCAATAAGGAAGGGTTTTCCAGGATTAAGAGGCCACCTTTGTACCTTCTTTCCTCCCTCCATTCTTTCCTTCTTTCCCTCCTTTTTTTAATTTACTGTAAAAGTGCTGTCAGAGAGAGCTGTATAATCAGCTGTTTCAGACCCCAAATGGCCACTTAGAGGTTGAAAGTGTCACAGGCTTATTGTGCTAGGCTATGACATTGACCCTGTTGTTTACTTTCTCTCGTAGTAAAACCCTTTTGAATCAAGCATGATAACCTTGGATGCAGCTTATAACCTCAGCCACAATGCTAATGATATTCTAATGAGCCTGTCATCAGCTTAGAGGTCTCCGAGTGGCTGAGGATATGGTGGCTTTTCGTGGGACACTGCCAACATTGTGCTTTCCTCGTCTCTAACACGCAGAAAGGTCTTATCACTGTGACTCCACACCAATCTAGCTTGCTTCCTGTTCTTAACTGTCTTCTTTCCTGATGAAGAAGACAAAAGGAAGTGCTGATGTCCCAGAGGGCTACTTGCTTCCCAAACTGAATGAGGAAAGACACTTAATAATCCTATCATGAATCCAAGGGACTATTTTCCTAGGTTGTGATAAAAGTATAAAGTTTGATTTTCCATCTATAAATGAACTACCATGAAATTCATCACTATCCTTCATTATTAATTGATCACCACTGTCTTTTATTACTGGACACTTAGCCTAAGGTTAAAACCACTTGGAATTATATTCCAGGTTTTTTTTAAGTAGTAGGACATGTTCATAGGAGAGTTAAAACTGTTTTAATCTTAAAAGCCAATCCTTGTCGGTTACATTTTCTGTAGTGTATAGATACAATAATGCCATGGTCAATGCTGGTGGGCCGATACAGACAAGTATACACTGTGAAAGGAGCAGAGGAAGCACCGTTGAGGGTAGATTACTGCAGAAAAGAAAGGAAATACAACAGGAAAAAAGAATAACAACTTATGCATCAAATAATTAAGGAATAGATTTGCATTACATGAATATAAAGAAGCAAAACATATTGATAGTGTTTGAATGATAGCAGGAAAGTGTTCTTCAAAAGTTTACGTACTTAACAGAGTCAATATTGTCAATGTTACTGGTTATCAACACTCAGCCACCCCCACCAAGTTCTTAATGTATCAGAACTTGAAACTAACAGAATGCTAAGGAAGAATCTGACGTGAAAGAAAGCCAAACACATTGACTTTATCTTCTTATAGCCCAGTACATAGTAGATAGCCTGTCAATATTGGTAGAATAATGAACACATGAATGCATAACTGTCCAGTTGCCAGTAAGCTAGGTATGCATATTCCTTATAGAACTCCTAACTAGGAGCCAGAGAGTAGAACATGTTTCAGAAAAGTCAGACCTTGTTATGGATATTCAAGTATTAAGAACAGAAATTACTGCTAAAGTCATCAAAGCCGAGAAGTCACTAAAATAAGAAAATTAGGGGCAAATAGAAGACTAAGGATCAGGCTTTAAAATCCTATTGGCTGCAAAATAGGTATCAATTGATGTACTGTAGGCTACAAGTGACAGAAGGTCCAATCTAAACTTATTTAAGCAGGTGAAAAACGCTAAAGCAATTTTGTGCTTAAGCATGTCCATGGCAAAATTCATTGGGATGCTGCCTCCTATATTACACATTTCCAGCCTCAGGCACCAACATATAGCTGCCAGCAGCGTTAGCACCTTTGTTTGCTTCAAACTAGGAAGCAAACGGAAGAGTCATCCCATCTTTCAGCAGAAAAGAACAGGATTTGTGAGACAATAGGGGAATGTTCATGTATTTAATAGAATATTTGGTGATACAAAAATCCAGCCATTCCAATATGAAATATGGGTGTCCTTAATTACCTCATCCATCTCCTGCCAATGAGCTTAAATGTAAGTAGTAGATAAATACAGAATATATAAATGTATATACATAGATTATATATTGTGGTAGATATCCCTGTATGTACACTATATGTATACACTTAAATATACATTTTGTGTCACTTTTATTTTTTATTTTATTACTTTTTATCTTTGTCTGCTAAAAGAACCTAAAATCAGTGACAACCTATTGGCATTGAGCACATATACCACCCAGATCTCACTTTAGGTACCATTCTTCAACAAAAGAAATCAAGGTCCCTTGGAGAAATAGCTGATGTCAGAGATGGGAATGGGTAAATATATAAGGTGAGCCTGAAAGATCTCATGGCCGGGAATGATGTGTGTATAGCAGAAGGATATTGGAACCAACTAGAAGGTATTCTCAATGGCCAAAGCTTGTTCAATTTAAGTAACAAATAAATACTAGTCATTCTGGATTATAAATAATTAAATGCTTGTTCATGAGTCCATTCTGTTAGAAATGCTTAAACTAGTGAATGAAGTCCAAGTGACAGCTTTAAATCAGGAGAAACAGGAAACTACCATTATCACACACCTTAGTAATAATTGTTGTACATGAGAACCATTGGTGCATTCACTTTAGTGGGTGAGAGTTTGTAAAAGAGAATGTTTGCATAATCTTCCAGTATCTCCCCATAATCTAACCTATCTCAGCTTGTACACAGCTGTGGAGAACTGAGAGCTAATTCCTTGGGAATTCTAACTTGAATTTAGAACCAGAAAAAAAGATGAGTTGGGAAAATAACAAAATATAAATGAAGTCTGTAGACTATATTAGTGTTGAGTTACTGATTTTAGTATTTATAGTATAGTTATGGGGTTGGGCAAAGGAGATATGTGAACTTCATATGTTTTCTTGTAATTTTTATATCGATCTAAAGTTATTTTGAGAGGAAGTGGTGTATGTGTGTCTTAAAGAAAGGTTTTTGGGAAGTAGTTGGGTGCTAAGCTCTCTCCTACCCAGCCGTATTAGCTTGTATTACAGTTACACAAAATGGAGAATGTCAAAGATGGAAGCGCCTTCGTCTCACATCTACCAAATCAGGAACTTGATAAGATAGCTGAAAATAAGGTAAAATTCTAAACCATCAAGTCAGTTTAGTGGAACATGTCCTATTATGAATGCCAGTTGTTTTTTTCTGAGTAGTACATTGAATAGTTGGCCCTGGCATCCAAGGTAGTCTTGCAGAACTTGAAGGTCATGTGGTCCTCCCTTTCAGTGCTTTTAGCCCATTGTGACTAATTGGATGATGAAGTTACGGGCTTCATGTAGCAGAGACTTACTATGGGAAAGTATTGACAGTGTCAAGAAGCATAATGCAGTTAAGTCAGAAAGTTCAAATTCACCACCAGACTCAAAAAAACATGGCTTTAATTCTTGAATATTCTTAACTATTGTTTTTATTTTCGTTTTCTTTTATTTGAGTGAAATTTGGCTTTGAATCAAGGGAATTGTGAAATGAAATTTTCAGTGGCACAATATGCTTGATGAAACAATGTAAGACACTGATTTCTGCCATGATAATTTGTTCACAGAAATCTTAGCACAAAGCCTTTGTGGGTGCAGTGCCTTCTGAGGAGGATTAGAGGCTTGCTATTCCATTTCTGTGGTAGGAACATACAACATGTATGAAGTTTTTGTGTCTCCAGAGAATAGAAAAGCCAATGTGGGGACTGTACTGTGAGAAGTATATGCTGTGTGCCTAAGGTGTTTTTTAATCTGTCATCTCTCTTAAGGCTCAGATATCATTAGAAAAATAAGCCATAGGCATTATAAATGTGGTCTGGTGAAATCCAATATTCACAATGACAATTTAGAATATGAGCTCTTTGGGAGGAAAGTTAACTCACCACTCTAACTCGGCATCTAAATATCTGAAAGTGTGCCATTGCTTTTATGAAAAGGTTTTGATCTGCATTCCTAGTTTGAGTTCAAAAGAAAACCTTCATTGTAAAGTGTATTCCTTTTCTGGGTGTATTTACTTTGAACTACAACATATAGTTTTTCTCATAAATCTAACCTGCCACTATCTGTTTTTAAGACTTTGTAAACTTCAAGTGGTTATGATGTGTGAAGTTTGGATTAAACTAAAATTTTCAGAAAACACATGTTATATATTTTGATTGTTTTAAATTTTAACATAGGCCAGTCGAAAACCTGAGTGTCTAGTGAAGTAATAGACTGTACTCCATTACTGTAAGAAGTCACAGAAAATTGCCCTTTCCCATCATGTTAACGATAGACAAATGAAGCAGCTGTTCTTATTCTTAATGTAGTTGTTTGAGAAACTTGCACAATTTAATGAAAATGTCTCTACTCATAAAACTTAAAATGCTCACACATGGAAAAAGTCATAATGTTTTGGCAAATATTGCTTTGTTAGGAATGTGAATGAGGTATTACCTGCTTCATAACTCGAATTCTGTATAAATGGCATAGAACTCTAGTGGGGAGCCAACTGAAAAAAGACTCTGGCAAAAGATGAATTAACATTCTTTAAAAATATAGCTAATTCTTTCCCAAACTTTCTGTTTTTGTTACTAAGGAAGATACATATCTCTCTCCATTTCTTCTCTTTGTTTGCTTTTCAGGAATCATCCTTGGGTCTTCATTTCAACTCAATATAAATGATTTTCTTCTTAAAACAAGTCTCAAAGAAAGAAGTCGGATTCTGGTAGGACCATGCTGTGCCACTGCCAGTCTGGAAGCTAGATGGTGTAAACACAGCGGCAACCCAGGCCCAGAACAATCCCTACCAAAAATATCCATCGATTTAGACGGCGGTCTGCTACAGGTCTGTGGTGATTGGCCGTATTTCTCTCATAAGTTTTTATGTAACCTTTGTTCATTTTCTGAACTGTTCCACTAAAGTTTAAATCTTTGTGTAGAGAGAAACGGTGTTGTCAGATTGCCATCTTATTAAATTTTTTAAGGTTTATTATGATGTAATTCACATGCCTTACAGTTCACTTATTTAAAATATACTATTTGATGACTTTTTAGTGTGTCCATGAAGCTTACACTCGTTAGCACAGTACATTTGAAAATGTTTTCATTACTAGTCCCCAGAAAAGCCATTACCAGTCCCCCTATTACCATTTATACCCACTCTTGCAGCCCAGCTAAGCACTAATCTTTTTATCTGTGCATTTGCCTGTTGAGGACATTTCATAGAAGTGGAGTCCTAGAATATTCTCTTCTTTTATGACTGACTTAAAATTTTTGTTGTCTTGAAAAACAAAGTTAAGAGAGAGAGAGAGACTGAGAGAGAAGGGGAAAAGAGATCTTCTATCCACAGGTTCAGTTCCCAAAAGTGACAGCAACCAGAGGTGGGCCAGGTTATAGCCAAGAGTTTCATCCAGGTTCCTCCCCTTGCCCCTGCCACCACTGCCCCCACCTGCGGGTGGCTGTGGCCTAAGCACTTGACTGACTTCTAGCACCATTCCGAGAATGTTACCAGGAAACTGGATTGAAAGTAGAACAGCTGGGACATGAACTGTAGCCCATATGTCTTTACCCACCACACTGCAATGCTAGTACTATGACGGACCCCTTTTACTCAGGATAATGTTTCAGGGTTCATATTTTAGCAGATGTTAAAATTTTACTCCTTCATGTATCTAAATTTTCCATTTTGAAAATATTTCATTTTATTTATTATTCATTAGTTGATGGACTTTGAATCATTTCCACTTTTGACAATTACTGAGAAAAATAGTGCTATGAACATTTGTGTTCAAATGTTTGTAAGGATTAATATATTTGGGGTAGGTCACTAGAAATGGAATTGCTAGGTTCAAGCTTTTTTTTTTTAATGTGAAACTTTAAAATGTGACAAAGTATTCACTGTCTCAAGTGCAGGGTCGCTGGCAGGATACCCACATTATCGTGCCTGGTTACTAGCACTTAAGAAGTGTCACATTGCAACTTCTCAATCATTTTATTTTTTACAAAAGATTTACTTATTTGAAAGAGTTCAGAGAGAGGGAGAGAATTTCACGCCTTGAAGCCAGGTGTGAAATGTGCGAGGGTATCCAGCTTATTTCTTGATAACTTTTCTTGTGACTAGAGTTTATTTCGTGCTTCACATGATTTTGTGTTCCCACCCCTACGAAATGAACATGAGTGTTGCAAGCTTGAAAGGTTGACAATGAGAGAAAATTGAGATGACTAACTTGTCAGTAATGGAGATATACTTTTCATGAATTTCTGTTTTTCATCTAAAAGTGTTATTACCTCAGCTTTTTACCAAATTTTTTTACTGATGCAGAGCAAGATAAAGGAAGTCCTAACCACTTTCTGCTTGAGTTGTTCTAGAGACTTTCAACAGCTATCAGAAATTTTTACGTATTTACAATAAATGTTAAATAAATTATTTTTGTGTTAATGTTTTATTGATAACATTGATTGTATTATCTTTCTCCAAGGCAACAAAGTAGCTTTATATTAAAAATAACAGAAAGAGCAAAAACCAAGTCTTACCTCTCTATTCTGTTACTGTCATTTAGTAACGTAAAGGCTAAAGCATGGCGCTCTACTCCTCAGCTTGACTTTTTACATATTTATATCTATTTAGCCTCATCCAATTTTAAAAAGTTAATGACAACAAAAATAGGCTTGGTGCTGCATCTCTTACTTTGCTTTCTGAGAGTCTAAACCTGTAAATTGAAACTTGTCCCGAAGGTATAGGATGGTTCTTTTTATCTGTGTATTCTTTGCTATGATTTTTTCTCTTCTCTGTTCCCTGGTTCCCTGAGAAGAAATCATCGTACTGACTTTATTCGGTATATTTGAAGAAATTTAAAATTATTGCAGATTGTGATCATCTGACAATTATTAGCTACTGGTCATTCTTCTCTTTTAGACTGGTTTCTTATGCTGTAGAAGACTTAATCATCCCTATTAAAGGAAAGACCAGGTCTTTGTTGTTGTTGTAGTTGTTCTCAACCCTTTTATACCCCCTAAACAACTGGTTCTCAGGGTCTGTGAAACTTTGGGTGCTTCCACATGCTCACTAAATAGATGTCAGAGACCTGCTAAGTTTCAGTTGATTGAGAAGTTCCTACTCCTCTAAGAAGTGAAATTGTAAACAAAGGAACGCCATGCTCAGGATTGCTTATTAATGCCATGGCAACATGTAGGAACTACGTCACAAGATGATAGTGATTAACATTTTGGCCTAGAGGATCTTTATTGCCTTCTGTCAGATTATAGTAGTTTTCTTTTTCGTCATGGCTAAATTGTTTCATAAACATTATTTCATATCTTCACAACTTTCTCATTATTCCAGCATTTAAAAATTTTGGTTTTCATGATATAATATGGGATGGATTTTCTTGTTATATATTTATACAAGCCATAGGATTTTTTCCTGCAGTTCAACCCATTTATAGAAATTATAATTATCAGTAATTAAGCTAAGCATTTGTCATGCATTAATTCAAATGTGATTGTACTAATTGATTGCACTAATTTTTGCATTTTTCACGATTTTAAAGGTCTTTTGGGGCCAAGAACATTTGAATTGTATAGTACTTCTTAATGAATTACTCAATGGATACCTCAAGAAGGATGGAAATGTTAAAGTACACGTTTCTGAGCCTATGCCTCAAATGTCTTCTCCTGTGGAAAAAAGTCAGACCTTCAGAAGTGAACAAAGTTCAGATGACCTGCGCACGGGTCTGTTTCAGTATATCCAAGATGCTGGTAAGTAGCAGTAGCTTCAGTATGAGAACTGGTATATATGTGTGTTTTAAACACACATTAAGTAATAATATGTGAAGATTACTTTAAATAATGTTAATATATTATCAATCTCTGTTAAAGAGGATTCCTGATTTTCATCTGTGTCAAGCCATACATCACATTTTTTTCTCACTTTAATAAACCAACATTTTCCTCCTTTAAAGCATACAGTGATATATTTATGTAATTATATATTTATTTTATATACACATTATTATAATATATAAACATTTAAATATTCATTTGATAGAACCTTTAAAACTACCTGGTGTCTATGAAGTCTTGTTCTGTAATGAAACTGAGGACAGCCCAGGGATGATGCTGTGGAGATACCCAGAGCCTCGAGTGCTCACTCTGGTGCGGATAACTCCTGTGCCTTTCAACACCACAGAGGATCCAGACATCAGCACAGCAGACCTTGGTGATGTGCTTCAGGTGGGTAATGGCTCTGAATTTGTTACTAAGCTCATTATGGCAAGTGCTGGTCCTATATTGGGAAAAAACATTGGAAACATATTTATTTTTTGTGGCAGTAGCCTCATACTTAAGTGGCTGTTATACTGCATTATTTAGGGAATGATAACAAGAAAAAGTCGAACATACTCAGTATAGCTGCAATTTTCCCCAAATATTTTATGCTTGTTTATTAAGAGGCAGAACGACAGAAAGAAGGAGAGAGATCTTCTGTCTAGTGGTTTGCACCCTAGAATGACCATAACAGCCAGTACTGACCCAAATCAAATCCAGGAGCCAGAAATTCTATCTTAGTCTCTACCATAGGTAGCAGAGACTCAAGTACTTGAGCCATCTTCCACTGCTTAGAAAGAAATGAATCAAAAGCAGGGCAGGTGGAATTCAAACTGGTGTGTGGTATATAGGCGTTATAAACAGTGACTTTGTGGCACAATCCAGCACCTCCCCAAATATTTTCATTTGTGATTGGCTGAATAAGTAGATGTGGAGCCTGAAGATACAGTGGACTGTTAATGATATAATTCAGATTCACGATATTTAGCAATTTCATGAGTTCCCAGTTACACTGTTCATCTTATTGTAAATAAGTCTCATGGTCTCACGCCATAGCAAGAAAAACTCATTCAATTTACTACACATATACCAAATGTTACCATGTAGTCACAGTTTCTGATACTGTGTTGTAAAATATGTCAGAATTGGGTGACTGTAGTTTTCATTTCCAGAGCTAAAAATGGTCTTAGTGTTTGATGTAGATAAATTTCCTATCAAGAAAAACCATCTAATCAATGGTCATATTCCCTGTGATTGAACATTTGTTGCTTGTTAGTTTCTTGAGCTTAATGCGAATGTACTGGTGATATCATTGTGTTATTTTTATTATACTTAAAAATATTTTAGGGATCTGAATTTCTCCAGAAATATCATCTTCCCCTAGTCTCCCACTTATTACATAGGAATCATTTTGAATGCTCTTTTTTCCATATCTCCCTACACCCAACCTCTCAACAAATCCTTCTAGTCCTGCCTTCTAAATATTTTCCTAATTCATCTATTTTTTTTTCTCTCTCTCTTTCTACCAGTATACCATATCTAAGCTACCATCATATTTTCCCTACTCTGGCTTCCTAATTGGTCTCTGTGGTTCCATTTCTTACTTCTTGTAATACTTTCTGCAAACAGCAGCTGAAGTAGTATTTTCAGCATATAAGTCATATCATGTAGCTCTTTGAACTTAATACCATTTGGCGATGTCCTCCAATACTGAAAACAAAATTCAGACCTCATAGGTGGCCTCCAAGGCCCTGTGATCTAGACTCTGCCCATTTCTCTGGCTGGGAATCACACCAGCCTCCCCCTTTCTCACTACACCAGTTGCGGTTGCCTCCTTTTTGTTTCTGAGTGTACTCTCTCCACATTTCTGTTGTTCTTTCGCCTTTGAGCATCTTTTCTGCTCACTTTGCTCATCAGGTACCATCTCAGATATCATACACTGGCAAGCCCTCTGTCACTACCTTGTTTTCTTCGTGGTGTTTATTGATACTCAAAATTCTGTTTTGCATTTATTTGCCTACTTGCTTATGCTCTTCATTTCTGTTACAAAATAAGTTATTTGTATGTATTCATTATGTGTCTCCAGCCCCTGATACACAGAAACACTCACATATTTTCTTAAATAACTTCTGTGTAGTTAACAAATTGGAGTAGTAATGCAAATCAGAGGAGCCTGGGGTAAATACTAATATTAATATAATTCTCTCTAAATTTCTTATTATAATGTATTTAGGCAAATGTTCATCTTCTGAATTGATATCAGTGAAACATGTGGAGTTCATAGAACAGATTGCCAGGATGTCAACAAGTATCTGCTTTGATTCTTAAATCCTCACAGTTGTTTCATGTTCATGATTATGTTCTCTGCCAGTATCCTTAGCTTATTTTTGTTTCATGAAATAGCAATAGCTGTGAGTTTTACTATCTTATCTCGTTAAAGTTGCTAAATGTCTATATGTGGATTTCAGCTGACTTTTTAAAGGTTCATATTAATAGCTTAGTGCTAATACACTTACTAGCAAGTATTCATGACTTACTATAGTGACATTATGTTGCCACATAAGGTGTCTAAAGTAGTAAGTGCCTTTGCTAATGGTGTGTTCTCCGCTCACTGTAATTAGAGGTATGAAGCATAGAAGCAGGAGGATTAGCTATGGATAGAATTCTTGGGTTCAAAATAATTCTCTACCACTTACAGTATCACGTTAGATAAGTAACCTCTCCTATTTGTGGTTTGTATTTTACTTTTTTCCAACAGTAAGATGAGGCTGGTAGTAATATGATACTGTAAGAATTAATATTTACCTAGAACAGTACCTGACACATAGCAAGTGTCATATAACTACTACTCCTATGACTCTGTCCAGAATTCTTTTCAGAAAGCCAGGAGCCCAGACTAGGCTAAAGAGATCTGAAGTCTGCTAATTGACTCTACAGAGCCTCTGGAATAGTTCTAGGAGCACTGGGGGCAGTCTCAGAGTCCCAGACAGTATGTTGCGCTTCTAAGCAAAGCATTACAATGAAGAAAGCTTGGCAGGTTTCAGCATGCAAAAAAATTTGGTATCAAAAAGGTCTTACCATGTTTCATAGTAACTGGAGAAATAAGAAGGCAGAATATGAGCCAATTTTACAGACAGAGATACTGACATAGGGAGTAAGACAGGGCTGCAGCAACTAAAGTTAAAAGGGAGAACTTGGATCTGATTATGAGAAGGAAAGCAAGCCCAGAACGTTTGACTGGGGTGGAGGAAGAGAAAAGCATGGCAACGAAGCTGGCTTAGAGCTATGCTGCTGAGCTGGTCCAGTCCTCATACTGTCATTACAAGGAGGATTTGTCCCACCACTCGAGCTGGGTCTCTTCTGTGAGAAGAGCCTGTCTGAACTGTAATCTTAGAGCCACGCAGACTGTTTTGTTTCCTTAGCATTTCTGTTGAGAATAGAAGTTGTGTGGCATGAACCATATGTTTTATTCCACGTGACATCCCTTTTCAGTCTAGCACCCACAGTGCTAGACTATCAAGCTTCAGATAAGGTGCTCTTCATGACTTGCAATCTCAGCCCATGGGGCAAGTGTCTGTGATGGGTTGGAGTAGGAAAATCTCCCAGTTCTGACTTTCACGGAGGACCCACCTGTCCTCAAGATTGTTTTGCTACAATTATCCCCAGGTCTAAGCCAGAGGCATAGATAAACTAAGGAACAGCTGACTCTAATTACAGACAGTGAATGAAAGGTACCCTTTGTTAACTTGGCCTAATGCAGATGAAGGAAGTAGGCTTTGAACTCTCCACTCTTGTTTCATTTTTTTTTTAGCCACTCAGTTACTTAAGGCAAATCATGGTCTCTTGAAGCTTTAGTTTGGTCTCCTACGCATCTGAGTTAATATTGTTTATTTTCCCCACAATTAATGTGAGGTATTACCATATAGGAATATTATAGCTAATGTAAGTTGCTCCTGAATTCTAATTCAGCTTTCCATCTCTCTTTCTTCCAACATATTTTATTTATTAAGTTCTTTTTAAAAATAAAGGAAAGAAAAGCAGGTAGATTTTATAATTCCCTGAAAAAAAGCTTGAGTGGCCGTCAACCTGCTAGGCTAACTTTGAAGGTCCCTGTTCCCCCTACCCCCCAGATTTACCTTATAGTCCCAAAGACAGGATCTGTACTCTGATCAAACTGACCTGTTAGCATTCCCCAAACCAGCCCATAACATACTACTTCCTCTTTGTCTTTAATCCTTCTTCTCCACTGGTTGAAATCATAACCACATTTCCAGAACAGAATCAAATGTCATGTATTCCATGAGCTTTTTCTGGATGCCATGTCCAAACATTATGTCACTTTCCTCTGAAATTCTATAGCACTTCATGGCATGACTGCGCTGCTATTTTCACCATTTCCTCGCATTTTACCTTATGTATCTAGATCATTATTTTATGTTTTCTTTACTTACATTTTATTTGTCTAGCAGACACAGAGAAGAACAGAAAGTGGGGGCGGGGGGAGAGCAAGGGAGAAGGGGAGGAAGAGAAAGTTATCTTCTGTCTCTTGGTTCCCTTCCAAAATGCTTGCAACAGCCACTGTGCCAGGCCAAAGCCAGGATCCTACAATCCTATCATAGTTTACCACATGGGTAACAGGACCCCAAGCACTTCAGCTATCATCTTTTGACTCCTTGGATACTTTATCAAAAAGCTGAATCTAAACCAGAGTGGACAGGACTCAAACCAGGCACTCCAATGCAGGACGCAGACATTCTAGAACAGCAGTGAAGCACTGGGCCGCAAACGTGCCCGCTGCACGTGTCCTTATTCGCTCTCCCTCCTGTCGATCTCTAAAGGAAGGGATCATGTCTAATTTGTTATTTTGTCCCCTGCGGTGTTGAATACAGTGGAAAATGCTTAATAAACATTGAATGAGTGAACATGTGAATTTCCATCTTCTTATTTCATTTTATTCAAGGCATTACATTTGTGTTGCTATTTTCTGGACCTAGTGAATGCATTTTGGTTTTCTAAACCAAAAACTGGGCCTGGATGTTTTGTGGTATTCTTCAGTGGTGTCATCTGTCGTAAGCGCACCCTGTAATGTCATTGCATTACATGGCCTCTTGATGAGATCATTGGCTGTTCTGCCAAGGTCACTTCTTGCTCCCCAAGCAAGGGCTAGTTCTTCAATATAAGAAAAATTAACCTCTCTGGCTTTAGTTCTAAAAACTAATGGATGGCCTTCTTTCTTCAGGACAATTTAGTTTATTTTTTTAAATTAACTTATGTACTTCAATTAAGCTCAGATATTGCCAGTTAGTATATCCTCATTTTATAATCACTAATGAAGTTCATAAACAAATTTCCCATATCACCTTAAGGATTTTCTTTGCAATTGTAGTGACAAATATAGAAAGGATGTC